AACTGAATTGTCCTTCCTGTCTCCTGTGACTTTGATCTCCAGAAGTAAGCAGAAAGGGGCTGGATGGGGTTGGGGAGTTGATCTGCCCGTGGAGAAAGATGTGCATCTGGGGTCCTGGGTGTCCGTGGCAGGCAGCACCGGGGTGACAGAGTTGAGGCTAGACCTCCCGTGGGTGGAGACACTTTCCAAGGCAGAATACGCTTGCTGGTCAAAGCACTGTCATTCACCTTGGGCAGTGGAGCTGCAGGGCTGAGCTTTTGTTATGTGGGCATGCACTCACACACACACTCTCACAGAGAGATGCGCTCGTGGACACATTCTCACACACAGATATACACTCACAGAGACACTCAGTCACACTCTCACATTAAGACATACACGTACATAGGAACACACAGACATGCAATTTCAGACATGGACACTCTTACACGTACCTGGAAACACAGATACTCAGGCACACACACACGTTCACAAACTCACAGTTTCAGACACGCGTTCATACGTTCTTATGAGACACACACACACACACACACACACACACACACACACCCACATGCACACAATCCACCACCACTCCTTCTCGGGCAAATTCATAGCATTCTCAAACTTATACACACACTGTTACACAAAAAGAACACATTTGCGGATATCCACAATCATACATGCTTCACGCACTCCCCCACTCTCACACTCACACAGGCATCCACATACTCACATTCCCAAGGACACAGTGGCCAGCCCTCGCCCCTCTCTGCCACCATCCTGTTGACCTGCTGGCTTGGAGACAAGGTTACCGATACTGGCGTAGCCAGGCGCCCGCGTAGCCAGGTGCAGCCTTGTTTGTTTGTGGTCGTCCTTGGTAACGGCAGATTAGGCCCCAAATAGAGCCAAGAGAAGGCCATAAAGTGGCTCTCGGGCAAGCTTCTCAGAGGGGCCCTCGTGTCTGTCACAGGAAGAATGGGTCTTGGGGGACTGGGGCTGCCACAGTGCATGGCCTTCAGCCCTCGGCCCTCTGTCCAGTTTTCCGTAGCTGCTAGCAGGAGCTGCTCTGCTTCTAGCCACTTATGCTATTGTTACCTCTTGTCACCCTGACTCTTGCGATAGCCCCTTGTGAGAGGGGAGCACAGCTCCTGTCAAAAGAGGAGCGTGGAGCTGGGGATCCAGCTGGCATCGTCTCTCTGTGAAAGTCTGTGCAGTGGCCTGACCTCTCTAAGACTCGCCTGTCATCCACAGAACGATGCTCGTTGGCTTTCAGGGTCACGCTGAGGCCTGAAGAGCGGAAGCCATACAGAGCACTTGGCCCTGTTGTTAATAGTCATCCAACGGACTTGAGTCTGCACATTGGGTAAACTGTGGGCCTCCTGTGGGTAGGCCTTGACACAGGGAGCATTGTTCTGTCTTCATGCCTTCCTCCCACTCCCCTGAGACTCACTCCACACTGTTTTACAGAGCTGGCAAAGCTTGGCTGGGACGGGGGCTGCCGCCCAGACCCCTGGCCATGCCACTTCTCACATCCCCACCAGACTGGCCGTGCACTTATGGGGCCAGACACAGCTTAGAGGCTGTGGTCTCAGGAAACCCCGCAGCACTGGGAACTTCCCCTCGTCCTGCAGCATTGGGGGGCCGCCTGCTCCATTTTCAGCTCCATCAGTATGTCGAGACTGGCATGTTAAGACCTAAATGCAAAACTCCTTCCTGCCAGGAACGTCAGGCCAACCTGGAGATGACTCTGGCCCACAGTGTTTCCCTCTGTCTAATGAAAAGAGCCAAAGAACTGACAGGGCTTTGAGGCCTTTGATCAGAGTTGGAGTTGGAGGAGGGAGAGAGTAAGCAGGTGAGACCTCGCTCCCTTACCTGGCTTCATCCCAGGAGATGCCGCACGCCCTGCAGGGGAAGCCAGAGAGGCAGCTGGAGCAGCAGCGGAGAGCTCCAGAACTGTGTGTGCTCCAGAACTGTGTGCGCTCCAGGGGACGCAACCCTATTCAGAGAAGCATGAGCTTCTGCCTTTCTGCTCAGGTTGAAGAACTGCCGGTGACACCTGAGTGTCCAGCAATGCGGCTGATGGCATGACTGCCCAGTCCATATGCTCCTTAGTGCTGAGCTGGCTGGTGACATAAGTACACGTGAGCTCCTGGACCAGGCAGCTGCTTGTCCAGCTTCAGGCCTCATGGTTCCGTCTACCTCAAGCCCCGTGGTTCTGTCCATCTGTGGTCCACCTGTGGTCAGCTGCCTGCCTTGGCATAAGGGAGGTCAGACACAATGGAGATCTGCCCTGGTAGTTCCTGTCCTGGAACATGGTTTTAGCCACATTGAAGGAACTAGGGTTTGATGTGTTCAGTTGATCCTGGTTTTTACTAAATTAGATGTGTGCAGTTCTTTGCAGAAATTAACTTTCTCTTGATCAACAAGTGACTCTTTGCTTCCAAAGTGTCCTGTTCTCTGGGCTTGTGCTCCATATGCACTTCCATTTGCAAATTCTCATTTAAAGTCTTTTCTCAGACATTTATTATCTGCATTTTATAATAGTACACATGAGAACAGGCAGTAGGAGGCTGTGACTGGTTCTCTCAGTTCGCTAAGATGCAGGTGGGGAGGTACAGAGTGTTTATGTTACATGTACCGTAAGCTCCATGGGGGTGGCGACCAGTCTGTTTTGTTTACAGTGAGTTTACAGTTTTTGAACAGTGAGTCCTGGCAGGAAAAGGCACTCAGTAAAAATATGTTGAACAAGTGATGGAATTGGACTAGATTGGACATGCCCACTTCAGAACACTTTGGCGATGTCCGTTCTAGATGGACCGAGGTGGGTAGGACTCACCTCTCCTTTTCTGGAGGACACCCTGCGGCCCAGCAGGTGTTACTGTACCCTATCTAGAACACACAGAGTACACCTGGCTTCTTGACTGAATCCCTTAGTGGCAGCCGCTTTTAAAACTCAAGTCTCTGATAATGCATAGAGCTTTTCGTTTTCTCAGCAAACACAGGCTTCCAGACAATTAAAAAAATAACAATAACTGAACACACTCCTATGCCTCATATAAATATCTTGTATTCCTTGATACACTTGATAAACCAGTATTGATACAGTATTATTAATCAAAGTCCATAGTTTACATGAGGATACACTCTGGGTGTTGCACATTCTGTGGGTTTGGACAAAGGTATAGTGACATGTATCTACCATGATAGCATCATGCAGGATTGCTTCACTGTCCCCAAATCCTCTGGGCTCTGCCCGTGCATCCCTCCCCCACAATCCCTGGCTATCACTGACCTTTTTACTATTCGTTTTTCTAGGTTTGCCTTTTGCAGAATGTGGTAGAGTTGGAATCATACAATATGTAGTCTCAGATTAGCTTCTTGTACTTAGTGTGTACTTAAGCTCCCTCCATGTCTTTTCATGCCTTGATAGTACATTTCTTTTTATTGCTGTATAATATTCCATTGCATGGAATATAGATAGTGACTTTTTAAAGTCAGGAGCTCTGGTTTTCTGCACATTTCTTTAACTCCATTCCCAAAGCCATGTGTTTGTTTGTTTGCTTTCCATTTGTTTACTTATTCCCTCGTCCATTCATGAAACCTGAATGTATACATGCGGAGCTGAAGACACACAAGTGAAGACAGTGTTCCTGCTGGCTGATGGCTGAGTGGATGCAGAGGGGCACCCAGTCGTGGGGGGACAGGAACCACGAGAGAGGACCCCGCCCCAGCACGAATATGAGTCAGAATCCTGGCGGAGTAATGATATGTCCCAGACGAATGAATGACCATGTGTCACATACTCCTTGAGGAACTTACTGCGTAAGATAAGCAGAGGGCTATAAATAGCTCCCTGGCAAGCACCAAGGTCATGCTGCCGCCCACTCCAAACCACAAGGACAGTTAGTCAGATCTTTGAGATTTCTCCTTCCGTTGCACATTTTCAGAAAGCTCCTTGAGAGTGCAGGTGCTGGGGTTCTGGAGGAGGCAGAGCCGGGAGTAAGCTTAGGAGTGAGGCAGGCTGTGGGAAGGTGAATCCTATCTGTGGGCACCAGGCTCCGGGTCAGCCCCTAGGGCAGCATGAAGCAAGTCTGATCTTCTCAGCCCTTCCCCGGGGAGAGCCCTGTGACTGTGTGACTGAAACCCTGCTCTGTGCTGGCCACTCTCCGAGCTCCTCACACAGTCTCTTAATCCTCACAATTACCCTTCGAGAAAGGCACTGTTACTGCCTTCAGTTTTCAGATGTGGAACCTGAGGCCCAGAGAGATTAAAGCCAAGGTCCTGTGGCTGACAGGTGGTGGAGCAGAGATCCTACTGAAGGCAGATGCCGAAGGTGGGGTCTTTTCCTCAAAATGGTCACTTGCTCTCCTGACTGGATTTTAACTATCTTAACACTTAGGCTTGTGTGTGTCTTTCTTGACGAGCTCTCTGTTCCTCAGAGGACTATTCTAGAGTCAGAGGGAACTCTTTGCTGTCTCTACTGCTGAATGGAATAACCACACTGCCATTGCCACATTCAGACTGTTTTCAGTTTCACTTGTGAAGATAGTTCTAGCAAAGGCAACTCATGTTGTAGCGATTGCAAGTCCTGGGGGAGAGGGGGAGGAGTGGGGACAGCTTGGAGACCACCAGGCAGGGTCCTTCACCCACTTCTGTGGGCCCTGCTGCCCACACTCCCTAGGGAAGAGGAGTGTGGCCTGACTCAGACGTTACTGTCATGGGAGTCCACCAGTTCTTCAAAACGGAAGGTGAAATTCTGTGTCTGTGAGTGATTTGCATTTTTCTTGAGGGGGAGGCTCCATAGTTTTCATGAAATTCTCAAAAAGGATTGGGACTTTCCGAAAGTTAACAAAAACTTGGACTCTGTTAACTCTAGGTTTTGTCAGTCTTGAAATGCTACAGCTCTGAGGCCAGGAAAGAGGTTAGAGGTAGTTTTAGCCCATGGAATCCTGGCTTGACTCTTATGTGAAGTTTTTTTCTGGAGAAGCCTTTTGCTGACCTGTTTCTCTCTTTTGAAGGTGGTGATTCCCTGCTGTGTCCAAGTCCAGCTAGAGCAGGTAAGGCTTTTGCATTTCTTTGGGACCTTTGTTCCATCCCATAGGACCCTCTTTCTTGAAGCTCTGCCCACTTTGGGGATTATGTCAGCTGCTTCTGGGATCCACGGCCTCCCCCTTGACCTCAGCTTTCATTCACTGGGCTTTCTAAAGGTACCTTTGATCACCCTGCGCTGGCCATGCATGTGGTTTCTTAAAAGGAGAACTACCTTTCGAATCCGTGATGATGGTCTTCAGGGGTTAATTTCCCTGAGTCCGAGTTTCCTTTAGCTGTAAAGGGACGACCCCACATGTCCATTGTCTTGGTGATTAAGACGTGGACAGTGACGGTGCTTGAGTCACAGGTGGCTGTGGACAATTTGGTGTAGTGACTTGCGGACATCAGTCTCTGACAAATGCCATGATTTTGTTTCTTATCAGGTTGAGGTTAAACACATGATAGCACTTTCTCCTTGGCTTGTTATTAGGTGCATTTAAATTGCCGCTTACTTTTTCAAATGAAGCTTCCCAGAATGTGGTGGCACCTCCTGGTGTTTTCTTTGCCTCCGCACTTTGGCGATGAGATAAATCCTTGTTTCTAATGACTTCCTAGCAGCTGGCAGGACATCTGTAGGGCTCGCCTCTTCTCTCATTGCCAGTCGGAAGCGACTCCCAGCAGACATGAAGCAGCCTTTTGCTGCTGGGGAAGTGTTCGCAGGTCCTGCCTCACCTGATAGGGAGGGAAACAGGTGTGCCGACCAGCTCCCCCTGGGCATCTATCAGGTGTGTTCCCCATACTTCCCATGCTGGACAGGGCTTCATGCCCTTGGCTCTCCCTGACTTTTGCTGTGCACAGAATCCAGAGTGTTCTGAAAGTTTTGCCAGTCTTTCTGTCTTCCGTCTCTGTGGGCTAAGAGCCCAGTGGCTTCCAGACGTGGTGCTGGCTCTACCTTGTGGTTTAGTAGAACATTCTCCCAGGGGCTCGGCTGAGCAGCGGCCCGTGCGGCATCTTCCCTGTTCTGATGAAGCCAAGTTCAGATTCTGGCTCTATCCCTGACTGACTAGGCTCCATGCTTGCCCCTGCCCACCCTGAGCCTTCATTTCCTCCTTTGCCCAGTAGGGATGGGTGTGCTTCCTAACCTAGCTGGGAACAAAATGAAAGAAAGGGGACATGCGCGAATCAGACACATCACAGATGCCCTGTTGACGGACCGGGTGCCTTTATTATGCTTCTTTTAGTGTACACGGTGTGCAGAGACATATGGTGTGGTCTCTCTGCTTCTGGGAGAGCAAAATGTGCATTTGAGGTCATGAGAAGGTTAAAAAAATCTCTCTCAAAAGTCTAAGATATCTACAAGCCATGAAAAACGTGTTGTAACTTGAAGAGTTGAGGCCATCGGCGGCGGGCTGTCCTTGTTGGCCTCAGCAGTGCCCCTGGGCCATCTACTCTCCCCCCACTTCCACTCTTTCTGTGAAACTCACAGCCTTAAGTTTTGAAGATGCATCTTTGTACTTGGTTTTGACAGGCCGCAGTTCGTTTCCGTGACTGATTTCCTTGTGTCTAACCCAGGCCCTGGGAAGTAGGGGAAGAGACCCAGGTGGCCCCTGAGCTGTGTGTCTCTCCTAAGGCCCTGATGAAGTGTATGCCTCAGCCTCAGATGCAGTTCTCTGTCTTCTCAGAGGCTCCCTTGTCACTGGTTTTGTCATTGCGCCCCAGACATCAGTCGTACCGGAATGCCGTGTCTATGTGCTAAGGCTAATGGGGTTGGCTGTGGAACTGTCAGCAGCCTGCAGGCCAGAGCCCTGAGGGCCTGGTGTGGCTGCCGGCACGTTGTCACTGTGCTCCCTGGTGTCTGGGGTCCTGGAAGGAGTCTTGAGTGTCCTGGGGCACAGCCTCCCATGGCATTAGGACACCCCTGCTGGCTGTTTCCTTTCCACAGGTGAGGCCACTGAGAGCAGGCTCTTCTTCAGCCCATCCTGGCTCCTGCACACTTGCCTTGCTGCTCTATGTGTGTACTGTGCATATAGTTGTTATATGTACATGAATGAGCACATACATGTTATATAATCGGTAACGCACATACACATATATGTAATTGCTATGTGTGCGTGAGTGTATATGAGTATTATGTATGTAGTTTTATGTTTATGTGAGTGTATGTGTGTATTATGTAATTATGTATATGAATGCATGTGTGTATTATATATAATTATATGTATATGAATGGGTATATGTGTATGTTATGTGTATAATTATTATATGTTTATTAATGCATATGCATGTATTATTTATATGATTGCTATGTGTATGTTAATGTTTATATGTGGATTAGGTGTATAATTATTATATATGAACGTATGTATGTGTGTATTAAGTATGTAATTGTTATAAGTGTGTGAATAGACGTGTATGTAATGTAATTATTTATGTATATGAATGTGTATATGTGTGAATAATGTAATTGCCGTACGTGTATGTGTGTGTGGATTATGTATGCAATTGCTATTTATCTGAGTGTGTCTGTGTGTGGGTTGTGTAGTTGTCATATGTATGTGCATGTGTATATATGTGTGTGTCTATCATGTATGTGAATCTTATGTGTGTATGTTCGTGTGTGTATGTGTTTTGCTGAGATGACCATGAAGAGTTCACTCTGTACTAAGCTCTCTGTTATCTTTTGCAAGTTGCTTCCCCCAAGTGTGGTCCTGGGGTGAGCAGCCTCATTATTGGCTGGGAACCTGATAGAAATGCGTATTCTCAGGCCCCTGTCCAGATCTCCTGAATCAGGAGCTTTGAGGCCGGAACTCAGCAATCTGTGCTTTAACAAACTCTCCAGAAAGGGTGATCAGTGCAAATGTGAGAATTGTGGCTGTGCACTGGAGCCAGAGCAGGGATGGCATGTGGGCGTGCTGTCAGGTGGGGGCCTGGGTGTGCCTGTCTTCCGTGGCTGCCCTCTCTGCATGGAATGTGGGGTCATGGAGAGGGCCGGGGACGCCGAGAGACTCAGTTTCCACACAGCTTTTTCCTGGGTGGACCTTTCTCCCTGTGACAGGGCAGTGCTGTCTTCCTCCTGGCTGTGGAGGAGTAAATGGAAGGATGGAATTGACAGCCCTGCCCAGCCTGTGCCCCTCCTACCTCACTGCCCTGGGCAGCACAGTGTAAACGGACCTTCCTCTGTCCTGTGGAGCTTGGGTGGAGTTTCCACCTGCATAGGGTCACTTCTCAGGGCAGAAAGCCTTGGGATCTATTTTTTTCCTTTCCTGGCTCTGCATGGGCTGGCACTTTTCTAGCACTGTGGGTCCCAGTATTTTTGATGGGCATGACGGTGCCTTCAGATAATACGGATGTTCCCAGATGTCACCTTGGGAATGACTGAGCCCTTGTGGGTTCTGGCCAGGTCACCTGAGAGCCGTTTTTGTTTTTTCTTTGTTACTATTTGCCGAGTACCTATGCTGTGTCAGATGTTCTGCCCATGAGGTCATCTGCTGGGGCTCAAAAAAGTGAAAAGACTTGCCAGGTCACTAAGACACTGCTTGCCTGTGGCTTTGCTTGACCGTGGCCATATACTTTCCACACTTTCAGAGGTGAGAAACATTTGTTGGTACTGTTTCTCATTTTTTGATGGGCCACATTTTAAAATCAAGAATTAAGTTGTGCAGAGCAAAGAAAATCTCACACTCTGCTAGTGGTTATTTAGTGCCACTGTGTTCTAGACTAGGACTTGGTGTCTCTGGGCTGCGATGCCCTGCTAACCCTTAGAACATTTGTGAGATGGAGATGATGGGAAGGGGGAACTCAGCACCTCCCCAAGGCGCATTGCTCATGAAGGAGCATGGGAAGTGGAGACGGGCGTCAGGCCTGGTTGAACTTGAAACTTAAACTTGAAACTTATATGAGAAATCACGGGGGGTGTGGACTAAGCATCGGGGCACTTGAAACATGTCTGCACTCAGAACTGCTATGACACTTGAAACATGGCCACACTGTGCCTGGTCACAGTGCAGCCTACAGAGGCCCCTGCAGAGGGTCTCTCTGGCTCTCTTCCTCTCCCATTTCAACCTCCTGTCTTTGCGGGGGTCATGGTGACTCTGTTGTCCTTGGACTCCGTGTCTCCTCAGCTTTCCAGGTGTGGAAGCACGTGTACGCTCCACCTGAGGCTGGGATTGGTGGTCAGCTCTGAGGCCAGCCCCGCTGTTCTCTGGGGTGTCAGTGTCCCACATGCACCACCGCGAACCCAGCTGTGCTTCGGCTCCCTCCTGTGCTGGTGTCCCCTCCTCCACCAGGTGACCACCTGGGCCTCTGCTCTGCCCACCTCTGTTCTGTGGTTGTAACTTGAGAGCCAAGAGCCTTTCAGAGATTCTAGAATAGCTTCATCCCAGAACATTATAATGCTGTGAGGAGCCAGGTCTGCCCAAATTCCTGGCAAAAGCATAATTCACTGGTCCAGGGCAGAGAGAAGGCAGAGATGGGCTGTGCACTGGCCAGCAGCCCATGATCCACTGTAAGACAGCAGTCACTGGGGATGTTACACTCAGGAGGGGAGACTGTCTGCCAGGACAGGGTGCTTTGTGACCACTGGGGGCATCGAAGACGAGATGAGGGAAGAAACCTTTTTCATGGATATCATGCATGGAGCCTGTGACCGTTGACCTGTGATGCTCATTTTTTTCTGTGACATTTCTGGGAGCAGAATCTTGTGTTTATTGCAACAACTTGCAAAAGTGGGCTGGGAGAGTAGATTTATTCTAAGGAAGTTAATTAAATCTAAGGATGGGCTGAAATAATGTGTTAAAGATAGCATGCAGTGGGGTCAATTTGAACTAATGACACACGTGCACAGGGCCTGAGTTTTCTGGAAACCGGTGCCAAAAGGATACCACCCTGATTGGCATGTGTCTTGTCTGAAAGGAGGGAAAACACAGGCATCAGCAGAGAAAAGATGTTTTATGGCAGGGGTCTCCACCCCTGGACCATGGACTGGTAACTGGGCCACACAGTGGGAGGTGAGTGGTGTGTGAGCGAG